CTAGAGCAAACTGGGAAAAAAGATGCATTTATATAAATTTATACCAAAGTATACATTTCAACCAGAGCAAGCAAGTTATTATTTTCTTTACAATTGCTGCCTATCATATTCTCTGAATTTATCCTCCACCTTCCTTGTCGATGATGCCCCATGCATCTCTTATCTCCGGTGTCAGCAGCAACCTGGGCAGAAAAGTCACACTGGGATTCTCCCATCCAGTTGCCCTGCACCTGTGCTTGATTTCACCTGCGCCACACAAGGCGATTTAGAGTCTGGATCCCTTTGATTTTTTTTCCTGTGACCTTCTTTAAGAGCCGTAGACCAGAAACCACGTTTAGCGTTCTCGTTGGTTACTTTGTCCTTTCAAAAGAGAAACGCTTCCGGGCAATTTTTGGAAAGTCTAGAGTGGACCTCTTTGCTGGAAGAAGGTTGACTGAGGTGGGGGGGAGAGATGGAGACCACTCCTTAACTGAGTTTGGGGTCCATTTCCAGGGCACAAGCCGACCGTCTCATTACCACGTTCTCTGGGATGACAATCGCTTCTCTTCGGACGAGCTGCAGATCCTCACTTACCAGCTGTGTCACACCTACGTGCGTTGTACTAGATCTGTTTCAATCCCTGCGCCAGCCTACTATGCACACCTGGTGGCCTTCAGAGCCAGGTACCACTTGGTGGATAAAGAGCACGACAGGTAAATAAGATAGCAGGGGTGGATGGATACGGGCAGTGGTGGGATTCAAATATGCGAACAACTGACTCTCTGCATGGATGCCGTTCTGGGCCTGGGCCACAAAAAATTAGCTACTGGTTCTGCCGAAGTGGTGCGAACTGGCTGAATCCCACCACTGGATGGATGGATAGATAGATAGACAGACAGACAGACAGACAGACAGACAGATGATAGATTATTGATCAATTGATATAGATAGATAGATAGATGGATGGATGGATGGATGGATGGATGGATGGATGGATGGATAGGCAGATAGATTATTGATCAATTGATAGATAGATAGATAGATAGGCAGATTATTGATCAATTGATAAAGATAGATAGATAGATAGATAGATAGATAGATAGATAGATAGATAGATGGATGGATGGATGGATGGATGGATGGATGGATGGATGGATGGATGGATGGGCAGATAGATTATTGATCAATTGATAGATAGATAGATAGATAGATAGATATATAGATAGAGATAGGCAGATGATAGATTATTGATTAATTGAGATAGATAGATAGATAGATAGACAGACAGACAGACAGACAATAGATTATTGACCAATTGATATAGATGGATGGATGGATGGATGGATAGGCAGATAGATTATTGATCAATAGATAGATAGATAGATAGATAGATAGATAGATAGATAGATAGATAGGCAGATTAGATTATTGATCAATTGATAGAGATAGATAGATAGATAGATAGATAGATAGATGGATAGGCAGATAGATTATTGATCAATAGATAGATAGATAGATAGATAGGCAGATAGATTATTGATCAATTGATAGATAGATAGATAGATAGCCAGATGATAGATTATTGATTAATTGATAGATGATAGATAGATAGATAGATAGATAGATAGATAGATAGATAGATAGATGGATGGATGGATGGATGGATGGATGGATGGATGGATGGATGGGCAGATAGATTATTGATCAATTGATAGATAGATAGATAGATAGATAGATAGCCAGACGATAGATTATTGATTAATTGATAGATGATAGATAGATAGATAGATAGATAGATAGATAGATAGATAGATAGATAGATAGATAGATAGATAGATAGATAGATAGGCAGATGATAGATTATTGATCAATTGAGATAGATAGATAGATAGATAGATAGATAGATAGATAGATAGATGATAGATAGATAGATAGATAGATAGATAGATAGATAGATAGATAGATACAGTGGTGGGATTCAAATACGTGAACAACTGGTTCTGTGTGCGGATGCCGCTTCCGGAAGTCCGTTCTGGGCCTGGGCAACAAAAAATTAGCTACCGGTTCTGCCAAAGTGGTGTGAACTGGCTGAATCCCACCACTGGATACGGGCATGAATGCAGGTGGTCCTCGACTTAACGACCAGGCCATCCTTTTAGCGAGCCTTTGAAATTTCAACAGCACTGGGGAAAAAAAGTGACTTACAAGCAGTTTCCACGCTTAACAACCGTTGCGGCATCCCCGTGGTCACAGGATCAAAATTGGGACGCTTAGCACCCGCACAGATTTATGACGGTTGTCCTATCCAGGAGTCAGGTGGTCCCCTTTTGCGACCCTTCTGACAAACAGAGTCAGCGGGGAAGCCATGTTCACTTAACCAACCGGGTTACTAGCTTAACAACCGTGGCAGGAAAGGTCGCAAAATGGGGCAACATTCACCTAGCTTACAACTTTTTTCCCCGCACTTACGACCGTTGCACCATCCCCGGGGTCACGTGATCAAAATTCAGAGGATTGGCAACTGGCTCGTATTTATGACGGTTGCGGTGTCCCCCCCCCGGGGTCACGTGACCCCCTTTTGTGATATTCTTAGTGAAGCCGGATTCACCTAACAGTCGTGTTCCTAACTTAAGAACTGTAGTGGTTCGCTTAACAACCCGTGACAGGAAACGTCGTAAAATGGGCCAAATTCACTTAACAAATGTTACACTTAGCAAGAGAAATTTGGGGCTCAGTTGATTATTTTACAACCTGTAAACTAATAAAAACAGGACAGCCTTTGCCGAGAAAGAGGGAGACCAATTTTTGGTTGTGCCAAATAAATCTGCATCAAATTGTATCATCTTAACGAGACCCTAAAATGCTGAAGACGTAACCGGGCTCTGACCCCACAGTTTTGAAGACATGGAGATGCGTTTCAGTCTTGGGTTTAAATATGTGTGTTTTTTTTCTTTCTTTCCTTCCTTCCTTCCTTCCTTCCTTCCTTCCTTCCTTCCTTCCTTCCTTCCT